TCACCTCACAAGTCTTTTTCTCCAGCCCAATCTGTTCTTCTAAACTCCAGACCTGTCTATCCAACTGCCACCCCAGCTCCTTCACCTACATTCCTCGTAGATGTCTCCTCCACTGTATGTCTGTGATACCCTCTCCTCAGTATGCTCCTGCCAGAGTCTCCCCATCTCCCCAATTCCACCCTTCTGCTTACTCAGTCCAACACTGTGGGGGTCCTTGATTCTTCTTTCTCACACCACAGAAACTCCTGGGTCCCCGACTTAACCAGGGAGTCTAGATCCTGCGGCCAGGCAGCCTGGATTCAACCCATGGCTCTGGTCTCACTGGCACTTTCCCTTCTGGTGCCTCAGTTTCTTCATCTGTGAAATGGTGATGACACTTACATCTAGAACAAGTTTCTCAATGGCAGCACTACTAAAAATTTGAGCCAGAAAATTCTCCATTGAGTGGACTGTCCTATGCATTGTGGGAGATTTGCCAGGAGCACCCCACTCGCCCCCTCCCACCAATCCCCACATGACAACCAAAAATGTCCCAGGCTTTTTGGGTCTCCCTTGGGTCTGGGAGCTGCACTTAGTCAAACATTTTTCCCTCTGACAATTGAATTCATCTTTGCTTTGGTCCAAATAAGGCCTATCTTTTTAAAAAATTTTTTTTTAATTTAAGGATTCTATCCATCTTTTAAACAAATAAATTTTCTTTCTTTATCTCTGCATTGTCAATCCTTATACAACCTTTTTTTAGTATATCCTGAAATGTATCAATTCCAATTCTAGTAATTACTGTATCTGACTTGCATACCTGCTATGATCTCAGTAGAGCTCTGATGCATTGAGTGCAGGGAATGTGTGTTCTTGATTCTGCTCTAGATGACCTAACACAATTTATTTTACTTTACTTGTCTGGGATGTTGCTCCTCATCTGTAAAATGTATATGTGGATATGGCTTGAATTACTAGGTGGTTTTATTTCTTCATTAACCTAATATTTGTTGTGTACCTACTGCATATCGGGGGAACCAGCCCCCAATATTTCAGTGTAGATTCTTTCTATTTCCCCTAAGTGTTGACCAATCTGAGAAACAAGGAGAAAGAGTATAAAGAGAAGAATTGTACAGCTGGGCTGCTGGGGGTGTCGTCACATATCAGCAGGTTCCGTGATGCCCCCAAGCCACAAAACCAGCAAGTTTTTATTAGGGATTTTAAAAGGGGAGGGGATGTATGAACAGGGAGTAAGTCACAAAGATCATGTGCTTCAAAGGGCAATAAAGATCACAAGGCAAAGACAAAATTAGAATTATGATGAGGGTCTATGTCCCTCTGTGCATGCATTGTCTTGATAAACATATTAACAGAAAACAGGGTTCGAGGGCAGAGAACCGGTCTGACTAAAATTACCAGGCTGGAATTTCCCAATCCTAGCAAGCCTGAGGGTACTGCAGGAGACCAGGGCATATTTCAGCCCTTATCTCAACAGCATAAGACAGACACTCCCACAGCGGCTAGACCCTCCCCCAGAATGCATTCCCAGGGTATTCCTTGCTGGGAAAAGAATTCAGTGATATCTTCTTACTTGCATGTCTATTTATAGGCTCCCTGCAAGAAGAAAAATACGGCTATATTCTGCCCAACCCCACAGGCAGTCAGACCTTATGATTGTCTCTCCTTGTTCCCTAAAATCACTGTTATTCTGTTTTTCTCAAAGTGCACTGATTTCATATGTTCAAACACCTATGTTTTACAATAAGATTTCATATTGTTCAAACACACATGTTTTACAAACAATTTGTACAGTTAACGCAATCATCACAGGGTCCTGAGGTGATATACATCCTCAGGTTACGAAGATAACAGGATTAAGAGATTAAAGTAAAGAAAGGCATAAGAAATTATAAGAGTATTAATTTTGGGAACTGATAAAAGTCCATGAAATCATCACAATTTATGTTCTTCTGCCATGGTTCCAGTCAGTCTTTCCATTCAGGGTCCCTGACTTTCTGCAACAACTGCAAGTCAAATATCTGGCATGACATTGTTTCATGGATCACACCACAGCAAATGAGAAACTAAATTAAGAAATTATAGCCAGAGGTGGTGGCATGTGCCTGTAGTCCTAGCTATTTGAGAGGCTGAGGCAGGAGAATCACTTGAGCCCAGGAGTTTGAGGTTACAGTGAGCTACGATGTCACCACTGCATTTCAGCCTGGGCAACCAAGCAAGACTCTGTCTCTGAAAAAAAAAAAAGTAAAAAGACATTGTGAGCTGTCTACATGTACTCTATGTCTCAGGAGATTCATGTCCTGTAATTTTTCTAAATGGCATCTCCATGTGGTTTTTCATGAATGTTTGTCTAGTATTTCTTTTCTATCCTTTTACTTTCAATGTTTCTGTACCTTCTACTGAAAATATGTCTTGCTATTTATTTATTTTTACCCCTCTGCACTATTTGTCTTGTAATTGGGGTGTTTGAGTCCATTATGTTTAATGTCATTATTGGCCTCGTTGGGTTTACGTCTACACCTTGTCATTTTCTGTTTTCTAACATTACCTCGTTTTTGCTTCATTATTTTTATTTTCTTGCCTTCTTTAGATTAATCAAAATCATTATTGTAGTCTTCTTAATAAATGCTCTAGTTACACATTCTCTAATTATTCCTTTAATTATCTGAGAAATAGAATATTAATCCGTGACTTTTTATAACCAACTACAGACCATAACTTCCCTGACTTTCACTGGGTGCAGAAAAGTATCTGTGCTCAGGAAAGTATCTGTTCTCTGGCTCTGAGACACAGAGGAAGGAAAACAGAAGAGAAACTGGATGATGTAGCTGTAGCTGCAGAGGCATCTGGGCCCCTCACTGAATTCCTTGGAGACATCTCCTCCACTGAATGCCTGTGATGCCCCCTCCTCAGTATGCTCCTGCCAGAGTCTCCACATCTACACTGACAGCAGCTCCACCCCTCTACTCACTCAGTCTAAAACTATGGGTGTCCTTGATTCTTCTTCCTCACACCACAGATACAATCCATTAGCAAGTGCTGTGAATCCATCTTCAAATTTACTCAGAATCCCATCACTTCCCACTATTTCCCCTGCTTATACTGCAGTCAAGGTAACAGACATCTCCATTCTGGAATACTACATGCCTTTCCCACTGTTTTCCCTACTGCCTCACTTATCCCCAACCTCTCAGTTTTGTTCTCAGCACAGAAGAAACTTCCCATCTCACTCAGAGCGGAAGTTACTGACCTCATCTCAGTTACTTTCTGTCCAGCCCTTTTGGACTCTTCTCTCTTCCCAGAGCTCAGACACTATCCTGCCCTAGTGCATTTGCACTGGAGGTTTCCCTGCCTGAAAAGAACTTTCCCAGACACGCCCGTGGATAAATCCTCATGTCCCTCAAATCTTTCCTCAAAAGACACATTTGTAACAAGGCCCATGCTGACAACCCAGCACAAAGGCCACCTTCCCTGTCCCCACAGCCCACACTCTGGATCACCTGCCCCACAGCACTTGCCACCTTCTAACACAAGCACTTTCCTTCCTTACTCTGTTTATATCTACCATCTGCCTACAGGGTTGTCCAATCTTTTGGCTTCCCTGGGCCATATTAGAAGAATAATTGTCTTGGGTGACAAATAAAATACACTAACACTAAAGATAGCTGATGAGCTAAAGGAAAACTTCTGTGCATAATTTTCATGATATCTCTTAGCACAGATAAGCAAAAAGTCCTCACATTCAAAGCTGTCTTTGGACACATGCAGCACGCCGGGCACAGGTTGGACAAGCTTGCATTTAGAACATACACAACACCACACCAGAAATTTTTGTGTTTACTTTAATGATGTTTTCCAAATGCAAAAACAGTCATACACCTAGCAGACAACAAATGTCAGTTGAATGAATGATCACCGTAGAGCACTTCTCTATTTGAAAGGCAATATCTTTATTAATGTAGCCTCAGGCCAAATGCTGTTTTGTGGCAGCTACAGAACAGTGTTATCTCACACCAATATCAGTGCCACCAGAGCTTTTCTTACCAGGGCTGCTTGTGTGTCCTCCTTCTCCTCCTCCCTCCTCCTACACAAACTCTCCTGCACATTATAGCACAAAATCATGTTTCTCTCTTCAGGAAGGGTAATCCTAGGCTTATGGGTCCAATTTTCCAGCCACATATAAATCTAAATTAGACTCTGCTTTACAAATCCATGAGTTTGGATTGGAGCCACCTCTAGGATTACTACAACTCAGGGCAGGAAGAAGAGTAGGAGAGCAGAGCAGAAGAAGGGTTCCCACAGAAAGTTACCTAAGAGGAGAAATTATGGGACACCTCCTCTCCGCAAATTTCAGAATCTGGATCCTGTAGGAAGGTCGGAGAAAAGATGGAAAATACAATCCAGGAAATAGCCCTGGAAGGAGGGCAAGAGCTGGACAGGTCTGAAAATCAGTCTCTCGATACCACGAGGACTCCTGAGTGCAGGAACCACCCTAGGTGACATCTGAGTCCCTGTGATCACAGGTCCTGGTGGGACAAGATTCTACTGAAGGGTCAAGGACAATGGAGCAGCAAAGATGACCCAGCCTAGCAGTGACCACATAAAGCCCATGGTGGCCTGGGCACCAACTGTGCATCTACTCTCCTCCCCTGCAACGAATCAGCATGAGAAACTGTGGACACTGGAAGGTTCTCAGGTCTTCCACTTATCTTGGCCCTCAAAGTTTAGTAATGTCCTCCTTTAATTAACCAATCAACCTCTCATGGCAAGAATTTGAAAAAGTAAATTTATACTCAGATTCTAATTTTAATAGAGAAGAAGTTACAGCTCAGTACACCATGAAGTTAAGACAGAGCTGGAGATGTCCCAGCCCCACCTATCTGGAAAAGGAAAGATGACTGAGGAAGAAACATGGGACAGTGTTGGGAAGGGGGTCATGGTGGACATGGGGGTGGGCTGGTCTCCCTACTTCCTCACATTATGCCTACAGAGACACAGACACATTAGAACATCTTTGCAGAAACAGAAGTCAGGGTTCTTGAAGTCACAAAAGGGAGGCATGAGCAAATCTTGCCTCTCAGTCCCACACACGGCAGCTGTTTCACACTACAGAAAAAATATCCATGAACAAATTCTTATCAGTCACAGTGAGAGGTCACACTCTAAACAGCCCACTGCATGCTCAAGACATCCAAATAAACCCCATAGCACAGCTGTGTCCCCTCTGTTCTCCCCCAACACCCAACACACATCAGGCCCTCCAGGGTCTCACCTTTACAAGCAGTGAGAGACACATCAGAGCCCTGGGCACTGTCACTCCCTGGGGTAGAACAAAAACAGGACCTGGTCAGATCCCTCTGGAGATGTGGCTAGAGGAGGAACTGTGAGGTGGGTGAGCTCCCCCATGGGCCCCCGACCACAATATCCCAACGATCTCAGGGATCAGCCTCCTTCATACTTACTTGCAGCCTGAGAGTAGCTCCCTCCTGTTCTATCTATAGGAAGAAAATGTCCTGTGAAAGGCCAGAAAGGAGGCAGGGTCATAAGGTCCTAGAGGAACTCCCTAGTTTTTAATCCTGGTGAGGTTCCCAGAAATGTGTGACTTCAGACCCAGGGCAGGATCAGGAAAAATGAGGAAAGCAGGTGTGGGAACTGGACCAACTGCCCTCCTGAGGTCTGTCCTCAGCAGGGACCTTTCCCTGTAACCTGTGACTGCTGGGATCAGGCTCTCATCATCACAATAATCAAAGTATAATCTGTCCCTCAATGTCACAGGTGCTTTACAAAAGAGTAAGTGCTGGCTCACAGGGCCCCAGGCTGGGTTGGCCCATGTATGTGGATGGTGCTTCCCTGTAATGAGGTAGGGCACACTTCTACCTGGGACTTGAAACTCCCAGTGGGACAGGAAAACCCAGACCCCACCCCTCACCCCTTCCCTACCTGGTTTCTTCCTCCACATCACAGCAGTGACCACAGCTCCAGTGACCACAGCTCCAAGGACAACCAGGCCAGCAACGATGCCCACGATGGGGATGGCAGGTTGGGGAGACAGCTCTGGGAAAGGAGGGGAAGGTGAGGGGCCCTGATCTCCAGGCCTCAGCCCTGACCCTGCTGAAGGGCTCCTGCTTTCCCTGAGAATACACGTGACCCCCCCATTCCCCTCTTTACCCCATCTCAGGGTGAGGGGCTCACGCAACCCCTTGTGCTGCACATGGCAGGTGTATCTCTGCTCCTCTCCAGAAGGCACCACCACAGCTGCCCACTTCTGGAAAGTTCCATCCCCTGCAGGTCTGGTGTCCACAAGATCCATGTCCTGAGTTTGGTCCTCCCCATCCCTCTGCCAGGTCAGTGTGATCTCTGCAGGGTAGAAACCCAGGGCCCAGCACCTCAGGGTGGCCTCATGATCGGAGATAGGGTGATGGGTCACATGTGTCTTTGGAGGATCTGAGGAGAAGAGTCATAAAATTCAGGCACTTTGCATTCCTCATGGGACACCCCAGCAGCACCCATGTGACCATCCTGTGAATGGACAGGCTACCTGGGGTGGGGAAGGGAGCATAGAACCCAGATACCAGCCTGGAGACAGGCACCTGGGATAATATCCTATTCCTTGGAAAGTTTGAGTCCCCTAACGACAGGGACTTCTGGTCCTGACCTGAGTGGAGGCTGAGGGACTCAGAAGAGCTGGAATCAGACCCCCCGTACACAATGCGTGTGAGGCAGAGAACAAGGTCTGAGAGGAAAAGTCACGGTCCCCAGGGCTGCTGTGGGGTCAAGGAGGACCGCTGACCAGTATTCCAGGGATTATCTTCCCTCCATTCCCTCAGAGACTTCATCCCTTAATTGTATCATAGAGCAGAGCGGACCCTCAGAGTCACTCTGGTAAAGATCTGGAAACCCAGCAAGATTATTCTCCCTCGGAACCAGAGCAAGGGCAATATTCTAGCATTGATCCCATTTTCCTTCCCTCCTTGTGGGAGGCCAGCCCGGGGGGATCTACAGATGGGGAAGGCGCCCAGTGGTCCCTTGGTACCCTGGCGCTGCAGCGTCTCCTTCCCTTTCTCCAGGTGTCTGCGGATCAACTCCACGCACGTGACCTTCAGGTAGGCCCCGTGTTGCTGGGCAAATGTCTCGTCAGAGTTCCACTTGCGCTCGGTGATCTGAGCCACGGGGTTCATCGCAGTCCAGGAGCTCAGGTCCTCATTCAGGGCGATGTAATCCTCGCCATCGTAGGCATACCGGTGATACCCGCGGAGAAAGCGCCCATCTGGCCCCACTTCGCTGCTATACGTCCACTGGACGGTGTGAGACCCTGGCCCCACCACCGTGGTCAGCGCCGCCAACCGAGCCCCGCCCCCACCCTGACCAACCCGCGGGGATTTTGGCCTAAACTAAAAAGGAAATTGGGTAAAGACTCCTGGAACTCTCCTGGGTCAAGGTCTCGAGTGCTACAGCCTCGGAGTGGATCTCGGACCCGGAGACTCGAGCGACCCGTGTCGTCCGTGGGGAATGGGGAGGGGTCGTGACCTGTGACCGGGCCAGGGTCACTCACCGGCCTCGCTCTGGTTGTAGTAGCGGAGCAGGGTCCGCAGCCACACTCGGAAAAGCCGTGTGTGGGCCTTGGCGTGCTCTGTGTGCAGTTCCCAATACTCCGGCTCCTCCTGCTCCACCCACGGCACCTTCGGCTCCATCCTTGGACTCGCGGCGTCGCTGTCGAACAGCACGAACTGCGTGTCGTCCACATAGCCAACTTCGAGGTACCGGGGCTCCCCGCGGCCGGGCCGGGACACGGCGGTGTGGCAATAACTGAAGGAGTGGGAGCCTGGGGGCGAGGAGAGGCTGAGACCCGCCCGAACCTCCTCCCGGCGCGTCTCCCCAGGTCTTGCGCCCCGACCCCTCGCTCCTCCCCGCAGAGGTCGTTTCCCTCGCGATCCCTCACTCACCTGCCCAGGTCTCGGTCAGGGCCTGGGTCCCCAAGAGCAGCAGGAGGAGAGTTCGGGGCGCCATGACCCCATCCTCCCACTCTGGGAAGATTCTGAGTCCCGGTGGGGCCGCAGGGACTTTATAACGGAGAACCGTGGCGACGCTGATTGACTTCTCTAGAAACTCGACATCCAATGGCACTGAGAAATGGCGCCGCTTCATGAGTATCCAGGAAGAAGGACCTGACACAGGTCCGGAAACTGAGAAGGGAAACTGCAGAGTAAGGAATCCCTAACTCTGAGTGTCCCGCAACCCAGACACCGCCCTCAGGGCCTGAGACCCTAAGAGCCAAGCCTTGGGCCCTGGGACTTTGCCCTGCCCCTCGCTACTCCTGTACCAAGCATTCTGTCTCAATGTCTACCTGAATGATGGCCCAGGAGCTGTCTGAGAAACCGGGGAGAAACCCTTGCCATAGGCCCAGTCTCTCTCCTTTCACTTTTCATCCCACAGTACCTGTCCCTGAACTGGACTTTGTGTCTCCCACTCTTTACCTGTCCCCCTGGTCTCTTCTAGAAGAAAACTCACCCCAGGGAGCTTGGTGCTAGAGAGTGAGCTTGTCTTGGGAATGGAGGTGTAGACACAGTTTTTTTTTCTTTATATATGGAAAAGTTGTGTCTCCGCGCATGAGATAGAATGGAGACCAGTTTCCTTTTTTTTAATTAACTACACTGGGTAGCAGAATCTTGGTAACCCCTGAATTATAAGGAATTTAATCTGTAAATAGTGTAACTTTGCCTCCTTGATATATAAATGTGTCTAAATGCATTAAAACTGGACTCACAAAGCTCTTAAGTTTTACTTTCCCAGGCTACGTATCTGTAACTCTCACTTGTAGTTTAAAATTACCTTCATTCCATAGCCCTGATATTCTGTTTGAGTCCAGGACATCTTCTCAATACAAAGTACAAAGTGTTACCGTATGTTGCAACCAGGATCCAGTACAGACTTTATTCACCTCAAATTTGCAAGTGCTCAGTCAAAATGCCCTTCACCAGTGCTCATGCACTGCTTGTTTTGAGGAAGTATCCGCATCTAAGTGGTGTGCATATTTTATTGGAACACTTAGTATTTTTTTAAATTCAGATTAGCATAAAAAGCAATTCTTTTTTTTTTCTTTTGGAGGGGGGGCAGTCCCACATAAGGTATTAAAGACCAAGTGCAAAGATCACTCTGCGAGGCTCTGTGGATGGATGTATTTAAAATCTATAAAACAATGTGTTTAAACCTAAGAATTCTGCTGCTTTCAAATTCTTTCCCTGTGCTCCTTTTCCTCACCTCCTGCTTCTCCAGTCCTTCCCTCAGTCCCTCTCATCCTGAGCTCAGGCCCTCCTCTCCCCTTAGTCCCCACCACCCTGTCACTCCTGAATTGTGACTCTAGCACTGCCCCATGACCTGCTACGTGACTGTTCTCTCCACAGTGGTCCTGTTACTGAGAGGAATTGAGAGCAGCCCTCTACCCTGACAGCCTGCACGTAACAGCAGCCTCTATCCTACAACTGCCAGAAGCTGCATTCTTCTCCCTCTGTATAAGCTTGAACATGGACCTCAGAATGAGTATATATATATATCTATTTTTTCCATAAATATATATATAATTTCCATAAATATATATATATATAAAATTAGCTGGGTATGGTGGCAATGACACACTCTGATGTGCCATTTCTCCGCCTAAAACACTCCAATGGCTCCATCTCAGTCTTGTGAAGCTTCTAGAATGTCAGGCAGGTGAGCATATAAGGCTATACCTGGTTCATCATAGGCACTAAATTGTTTTTTCTTGATTGGATGAATGAAATAGGTGTGTATTAAAATTTGATTGCATCATAGAAAATTATAAAATGAAAAATACTGGAAAAGTTAAGAAACATTTTATTTTATGCAACTAATGTGCATAGCAATTCATAAATTCATTCCATGTGTCTGTTGAACCTATGTATGAATTTTATATGACTGCATAACAAAAGATCACAAACATTGGCTTTAAACAACACCCATTTATTGCATTTATTTATTCATTTTTAGAGCTAGAGTCTCCCTCTGCCATGCAGGGTGAATTGCAGTTGCATAAATACGGCTCACTGCAGCCTCGAACTCCTGGGCTCAAGGAATACTCCTGCCTCAGTCTCCAGAGTAGCTAGGATTACAGACAATTGCCACCATATTCATGGAAATTATATATATTTATGGAAATTTAATATATATATTTATGGAAATTATATATATACTCATTCTGAGGTCCATGTTCAAGCTTATACAGAGGGAGAAGAATGCAGCTTCTGGCAGTTGTAGGACAGAGGCCACTGTTACTTGCAGGCTGTCAGGGTAGAGGGCTGCTCTCAATTCCTGCTGCCCACCAGCATTCTTTCCTACACAGCCCCTTCATTTTAAAATCCCACAGTGGAGGAAACTGCCCCACACTGAATCACTTTCACACTGTGAATCTCTTTGCTCAGAAAGAACCCAGTCCATTCAAGGGCTTGCCAGATGAGGATAGCCCAACCCAGGATAATCCCTGTCTTAAAGTCAACTTATTTAGGACCTTAACTATATTTGCAAAAATCCCTTCACAGCAGTACCTACATTAGTGTTGGTTGAATAACTGGGGGAAGGTGAATGGCCAGGGGCTGGTTATTAGGGGGCCATAACAGAATCAGCCTAGCATGGCCTGGATCTTCCTTCTGTGTTTAATTGGGACACAGTTGAAAACTGAAGTTCAAATAAAGCAATCATTGTGAATGGTACTAAAATACATCCTATTTAGCCATGGAAATTATTCTTCTTAAAATCAAATGGCACATTTAATATTTTATAATTAATTTAGGCCAGGTGTAGTGGCTCATGCCTGTAATCCCAGCACTTTCAGAGGCGGGGTGGGCAGATAACTTGGTTCCAGGAGTTTGAGATCAGCCTGGGCAACGTGGCAAAATCCTGATCTCTACAAAAACTACAAAAATAAAATACAGCCAGGCATGAGGTATGTAGCTGTACCCCCAGTTACTCAGATGGCTGAGGTAGGAGGATCACTTCAGTCCAAGAGGTCAAGACTGCTGTGAGCTGCCATCCTGCCACAGCACTCCAGCCTGGGTGACAGAGAAAAACACTGTCTTTTTAATAATAATAATAATAATTTTAAAGCAAATGAAAACTAAAGTACAATAATTCATCCCCTCTTATGAAACTGTATTATTTACCATTACATAACAAATTACTTAACACTTAGCAGCTCAAAACAATAAATAAACAAATATTTATGATCTCCCACAGTTTCCAATGGTCAGGAATCCAGGAGAGGTTTCCCTGAGTGCTTCTGGCTCAGGGCCTCTCACAAGGTTGCAGTCCAGTTGTTACCCAGGGCTAAGTCATCTGAGGGTTTCACTGGGGCTGGAGATTCACATGAAACATGGCTCAGTCACCTAGCTGTTGGAAAAGGCTTCAGTTCCTTGTAGTCTGGTCCCAGGAGGCCACAGTTCCTAGCCACATTGACCTTTCCACAGGGCTGCTTATGACACAGCGGCTGGCTTCCCTCAGAGCTCATGATCTGAGAGACAGAGAACCAAGGTGGAAGCCATGGTGAATTTCATGTTTTACACCTGGAGTCACAAGCTGTTATGTCAACATTCCTCTATGAGTTAGAAGTGTATCACTAAGTCCAAGCCACATTCACCAGGAGGGAATTAAGCTGCACTTCTGGAAGGGAGGAGTATCACATAATTTGCATACACATTAAAAGCAAAATTAAAATTACTGTTTCAGGCTTTTATAAAGCAAATACTTCTTTCATCTGATTATATTTCTTTAATGCTTTAAACTTCTCTTTTTAAAGTAATGATTAAAAGTTTGAGACATCACAGAGCCGTGGGTGCTGAGGGGGAAAAAATTTGGGACAGAGAAAGGAGATTCGACAGTATCTCTAAGTTTTTCTTGCAAATACCTTTAATAACAATGTTCTCATGAGTCAGTTGCAACACAGTTGAGAATATATGGAAACTAGATCAAATAGTTCCAAGACTTCAGTGCCATAACAATAATGCCTTGAAAATAAGTCTTTGCTATTTCTAAGATGTCTCAAATTTAGTTTAAGAATGCCCCAAATGCCAGTTTTTTATTCAAATATCATCTTCAAAACTAGTTGCCTAATCAGATTGCTTTTCAGTTAGAAAAAATGTGGATCTCATACCTCAGTCAACACATCTAACTTAGCATGATACCAGTAACTTTTGTTTAATGCAGCTGTTCAAAATAATTAACTCTGATTGGGAAACAAGAGTTTTCAAAAACTGGCTGTTCAGCGGGACTTCTATAATAAAGTTAACATCTTTCACTCTGGTTTTGAATGGAATTTGGTAGAAGTGATTAGGACACCACTATGATTCTAAATACCACTGCTGTTATGTGCTTCTAAAGTTTTTTTTTAAGCAGCCCCTTTGTGTTTCCCATTAATATTTGCTATTCCATCACTGGTTATTTATTTATAATCTTTTCCTGTTAAATTTATTTTGATCAGTAATGTGCATTTCCAATTCTGTAAAAGTTTAATTCAGATATGTGTGTGGTAAAATGTAACACATCAAATCCTTTGCATGAACACTGTACACTGAAAATCTATGGAGATGCCAGTGGGCCAAGGATCAAATGACCTATTTCTAGCCAATGCCGTATTCTTGGCATCCTGATCCTTTTTGTTACATGGCTCCTTACAAATGGTCGTGGTTTTCTTCCAATGTGAGTAGTTCTTGCTACGCATCCTTGCAATGAACTTTGGTATTTTTTCTCTTTCATTTAAAAAAAAAAAAAACAAACAGGTATTTTTTGGTTTGAGAAACACTATTTAAGTAGTTATGATCAAGAAACTACATGGGCATCCAGCACTGGCATAAGGAACAGAACCTGTGAAGCCACCCTGAGCTGCTGCCCAATCACACTTTTCAGAAGGGGTCTTCATCCTGAGTCCTGTGATTATCACTGCCTTGTATCTCTCTAAATATATATATATTTGGTATATATATATATATATACCAAAA